AGGACACATCCACATGCCCAACAATACATGAAAGGATGCTCAACATCACTCATCATTAAGGAAATGTAAGTCAGAACCACAATGAGATCTCACTGCACACCTGTCAGAATGGCTGTCATAGAGAATATGAGATAGCAGATGTTGGGAAGAATGTGGGGAAAATGGAACATCTGGCATTTACATAGAATTACATAAAATTATGAAATTTAAAAGCTAGAAAGCAATTTAACAGTCACTGAAATTAGCAGCCAAGATTGATAGGAGGAACGGAGGCTAAGAGTGGTTACAGTGTTTGCCCAAATTCTCTTTCCGAAATGTGAGCAGCTCTGAGATTACAGTCCAGGCTCCTTGACTCCTGATCAGAGTTCTTCTCTCAGATCATGCTGTCATTCATAATGCATCTCACCAAGGAATTAAAAAAAAGAAAAAAAAAGAAAAACACCTCGTTTTGTATAATATCTTTAGCACATGGCACTGACATGTTAGAGTTGCACGGTTTGACAGGACACTTCATTACCCTGAGATTTCAGGTTCTTTTTCTGAACTTTCACAATCTATCCTTCCAAAATAATGTGCCTTAAGGGGTCTAAGTAGCCTAGAACTAGGTGGTCCACACAGGTCAGCATTGCTACCTTGCAGGTAACAGCAGAAAGTCTTTTTCTGGCTTACTAAAGTAGGGGTGTTGATTTCATTGTTTGCATAATGGGACATCAAGAAACTCTGCTTTTCATCGCTGACCAGTGTCACCCACTAAATAGTCTTAGAAAAAAATCATAACTAACATTGTCTAAATTTTCTAGACACTAATTATGGGGAAAAAAATTCTATGAGCCTATACTGAAAAGAGGAGTTTCTGCTTACAGGAAAAAAAATGAAAACTTAAAAAAAAAAAAAAAAGATTTTTTGCCTCTCACTTCTTTTTTCCATTGCTCCCCTTTTCTCTGAAAATCCCTTTAGACAAGTTAGAAAAGCAGAACTTGTAAAGTGAAGGACTTTGGTTGTTCCTTGAAATAGTGGGTGGGGTGCAGTCATGAGAAAGCCCTTAAATAAAAGCACCGCTTCCTCTGTTCTGTCCTAGAGTTGATTCCTTGAATCTAGGGGAAGTGAGTTGATTTTCCCCTCCTGTTGTTTTGGGTGGGTGCAAACTGCTGTGTGTGTTTATTTTTGAAATTGATCTTATTTTCATTTAAATATTTCAACCCATCTATAAAGGTAGTGTCATATAACAAGTCCTTTCCTCCCTACTTTTGTCATGTGAAGGGATTGCTATTCTGATACTTCATTGAACCCCATGAGTGTAAATTTTGCTCATCAGTATTGCAGGCTTATATTGTTTTGGTTTCTTTTGTTTAAATACTTTAATCTTTATCTCAACAATATTGATTTCAGTGGAAACTTTTATATATATATATATATATATATATATATATATATATATATATATATATAAAGAGAGAGAGGAATAGAGAGTTAGAAACATTGATGAGAGAGAATCATTGATCAACTGCCTCTTGCACACCTCCTACTGGGGATGTGCCAACAACCAACCAAGGTACATGCCCTTGACCAGAATCGAACCTTGGACCTTTCAGTCCACAGACCAACGCTCTAGCCATTGAGCCAAACAGGTTTCAGCTCAGTGGGAACTTTTTATTGCTTCAAAAGGAATGCTCTGTACGGAGTGTCCAACAGATGTAGAAAGCAAAATGAACCTACTCATTCTTGGATCATGGTCTAACTGAAAATAGCTTAAGTAATCATTTTATTTCATGTCTAACTGTCCACTCTGACATTTTAATGAATAATATTAATATATACTTTTTGTATTAGTTTTCCATATATTTACTCTCCCTACAGATTATGACACATTTAATTTATTTTATAATTTCATAGACATGACTAATACTCAGTTATTCTTCAAGTACTATTGAACTGAAATTTGCACATCACATAAACATATACATCTTGACTTATTTTTTAAAATTTGCAAAACTTTTGCATTAAACTTTTTATGCTAGAAGTTTAATCAATAATAATCAAATGGGTTAAATTAACAATGGATTTTTTAATAGTTGTTTATTTATGCCTATAATTTAGTTACATCATAATAATACTGTTAAAGAAATTTTGAATTTTTGGACAATTTAAAAAGTATCTGGAGTAAATAGATAATGTATTAAATTTGGTTTCCACTCAAAAATTAGGTAGAATAGTTGGTACTATCTTAGTACTTATATTTTAGCCATTCTTGACATTATTGAAATTAGATCTTTAAAATAAGGATAAAATCATTGCTGATCTAAGGCTGCCACGTTGATTTCAGATGATTATTCTTTATAAAAATCCACCCTCCCACCCTTGTGTGCAAGTGGGACTCTATACCCACAAACCCCCACAGGAGGTGGGCCTGTCCCAAAGAGTGATAGTCCTTTTCATTTCTTTTTAAAAAAATATATTTATTGAGTTTTTACAGAGAATAAGGGAGAGGGATAGAAAGTCAGAAACATTGATGAGAGAGAAATATCTATCAGCTGTCTTCTGCACACCTCCTGCTGGATATGTGCCCGCAACCAAGGTTCATGCCTTTGACCAAAATTGAACCTGGTACCATTGAGTCCGCAGGCCCATGCTCTATCCACTGAACCAAACCAGCCAGGGCTGCTCATCTTTTTTCTAAGTTACAGAGAAGCTTTTGCTTTTCAAACATGTGCCCCACAAGACAGCCCAGAGAGGGAATCTTTTCAAACTGTTACAATTGAGATATATGGGACAATGATGGCCCTGTTATTGAAGAAGTTTTCATGGATGAATTGGGTTTCAAGGAAGGCCATTATAAATGGTAAAGATTTATTATGTGGATCACAGGGAGAAAGGTTTTGCATATGGGTGAAGGGGAGCAGCATTTAGCATGGGTGGAAGTACAAGGTCTGAGATGAATAAGACATCTGCAGTAGTTAGTGAAGAGACGAGATTGATTGGAACAAAATGTGCATGTCTTTGATGAGTAGAGGATTAGACGGAAAAGGTCAGCAAAGGTCTGATTGTAAGGATCCTGAGTACAGTGTAAGGAATTTGGATTTCATCCTCCAGATGAGAAATCACCCTAGGCATTTGTCCAAATGCATCACATGATCAGTGATAACTTACTTTCGGTAGATTAACCCAGGGTTGTACAGCATTAAATAGAAGGAATAAGGAAAGATTAAAGGAAAGGAGACAAGTTAGAGGATGCTACATACAGTACATGGTTTTCCTTATCTAGCCAAGGATCTAATGAAGATGAAAGGAAAAGCTGATTCCATAGTGTTTTTTTTATTATAACCTGATCTCTGAAAGAAATCCATATTTATTATAAAAAATTTTGAAAATATAAATATATATACACACGAAAGAAAATTAAAATCATCATTCTCTTTTAAATCATAGATGAACACAGCATTTTAGGCACTATTGATTTTTTATTTTGTTTCAATTTATGTATGTTGACATTATGGTATATGAACACTTATTTTTATATAGCTAGTTATTTTTGTCATTACTATGTAGTGGACATTTTTTTTTGTTAATAAAAATTCCCAAAGGACCTCATTTTACATGTCTATACACTATCTCATTTCATGACTAATATAGTTAACTATTCCAATGAATATAAATTTAGAGCATTTCCAACTTTTTGTTATTATTATTAATACTACTTTAATGAACATCAATCCACATAAATGTTTTATTCCATACTCCTCTTCCCTTCTCCACAAAAAAGTAAATTACAAAATAATACAAAAACAAAGTTAAGCATTTTGTTCATTTATTTATTTTGCCTATTTTGATTCTAGTTCTGATATAACATGTCCTACCCTTAGTACATGTTAAGAATTTGGGGGCCTAGGGGATCCTTACTGAAGATTTGTTGAAATTATTGTTTTATTTTGTTGCTTGCCATTTAAAATGATGTATTGATATTTTGATCCATTGTTCTATATATGGGCATTTAGGATTTTTTCAGTTTTTCTCTATTTTAAACAATGTGTGTGTGATGAATATCATTGCACATATTTTCATGTGCACAAATAAAAAGGTATAAACCTTAAAAGTGAATTATAGGGGTTGAGGACACATAAATCTTCAGTTCTAGTAACTTATGTAAACTAAAGCAATTTACGCTCACTTCTGCGGGCAGCACAGAGAAATTCCAACTTACCCACATCCTTGGCAGCCCTTCCTTTTAAATGCCTGCAAATCTGATGGATGTGAAATAGTATCTTATTTTGTTTTGCATTTTTCTGATAACTGATGAAGTTTAGCATGTTTTTATGTCTGTTGGCCATTCAGACTTCTTGTCTGGAATTTACCCATTTTGTATTTAGTTACAGTCTTTGTCCTCTTTTTGTATACTCTGGATACTAATCCTGTGAAAGTTATTTCACTTGCCAAGGTATTCTTCCAGTATCTGTCTATTAAACCTGTTTATTAAAATGTAAAACAATTTTAGGCAGATTTATCAAAGTTTTAAAGTGTTAAAGTGTGGGTGTTTTCTATCTTGATTAACACGTTCTCCAAAGTCAAAAGCCCTTCACCTACATTTTGTTGTCATTCTTTTTAAGTTAATTGCTTTACCTTACATTTTTAATTCGTCTGACACTCATTTGCATAACTACGTAGACATTTTCCAGATTAAGGAAAGTGAAAGGTATAAAACAAACAAAAATTGGGTGAACTGTATTATAGATTCCATTTCAAGTCTGGTTTTTATTTCAGCAACAGGTAGCCACATCCACCGAGGTTTGAGGTAATGAAATCAATGTCTTTCTCCTTGACAACACAGCAAATCCACAGGTGTTCATCCACGTGAATTCTTTCAAAATCATGACTTCTAACTGGAGTTGAATATGATTTGATACTTGTGTATTTGCAGACTTAAGTGTTCCTAACATCTTGCGTACATCCAGAAGGAATGCGTTGTCATCTTTAATTGGTTAACAGAGGATTCCTTTTACTTTCAGCAAGTCACAGAAGCTGTGAGCCCCTCAGTGCTGCCCCCTTCAGCTTTGCCGCTGGACCAGCTTAATAACGCGGTCACTGCCTTCAGCACCTTGGAAGACCTTATTCGCTATCTCGAACCAGACAGATGGCAGTTGGACTTAGAAGATCTGTATAGGCCAGGTTGGCAACTTCTTGGCAAGGCTTTTGTTTTTGGAAGAAAATCCAGAGGTAAGCTCTCTCTTCAGATTAGAATCTCATTTCCTTTCCTTAGCAGCTCATGTCCCAGATTCTTCTGCCATAGCTTCTGATAAGTAGAGTTTAAAAGCTCTTCAGGGATATATTGACATAATCCATTTTTGTAACATTTGAATATATTTGCATATTAAATGAGAACACATACAAAAGAGGGCACTTCATTATCACTCAGTGAATTTGGGAGATTAAAATGGCTACTTTTGCTGAATATTCTTGTCATTTTTTAAATTCAAAAATATCACTTTGATGGTCTTCTATTATATTTCATAAGAATCAGTGCTTATTCAAACCTAATATATGGGGCATATTGATTTAGAGATCCAAGAGATATTATCATAGCTGCTAAGGAATCAGGTTTGGAGCTGGAAAAGGGGAAGCTCTATTGAATTCATTATCTAGCCTATCCGTGAAGGTCAGGATAGTATCAATTTCTATTTCCAAAACCTAGAAACTTTTATAAATAATATGAAAAGTAACAATGGCTCACCATAAAATAGAACTAGCTTTTTCCAAGATAGAATGCGTAGTAGGAAGGAACCCACACTACTGTAAATTTACTTCTGAAATGATCACTTTTGACCATAGGAGCATATCTCCCTTCAAGACTGAAGGTATTGATCACTACACTTGATTCCACACAGTCAAGAAATTGAAACTAATGTTAACTGAGCTTGCTCTAAGGTTAGCTAATATCCTAGTACCTTTAGAATCGGAAAGCATTCATATCAGACACAAATGAGCATGTAATATAAAGAACTGAATAATTGTAATACACTCAAAAACATCTGTTGAAGTCTGTCAGAAACATTGAAATCTGCCTGGTGTCACTTTGGAGAATGGGAAGACACCCTGTAAAATGCATCAGAGGGAACAGTGTTTAGTTAATTTGAGTGATTCCCAGGGGCAGATTGCACCAGACTTGTTCTCCTAAATCTTGTCAGAGAGAAGCCCGCTTCCTGCCCTTTCCTGCTAAGGGTTGCAGCCCTTCTGGGTGAGGAGCTTTCATCTCAGCAGGCCACGTTCAGACTTGCCCAACCGTGGTCGTTTGCTATGCCAACAGACGTGGTTTCCTTTCAGTGATATTTGAAAGTGGCGTTCAAGTCCATGGGCAGCCGAATCTTGTCCAGATGCTGAAAGTTGTTACATATTTATAAGATTTGATCTTGATGAATAACTTGATGAATAACCTACGAACAATACTTCCCTTCCCTCCCACTTCGGAACAGGAAAATGGGGATCTGTGAGGCTGGCTGCAGCAGCCATGAATAGAGCCTTTGTTGGCAAATTGGAAGTAGATGATCATGCTGATCTGCAAAGAGCAGGGGGAGTAAACCAGGTTCGAAGCTCAGATGTAGTTTTTGATGGCTGATCTCGGGATTTGAGCCTAAAAATCTTCCTTCTAGTCAGATGCCTTTATTTACGCCTGTACCTCTGCACGTGGTGATCCATGATTTGGACAGCAGCTAGCAGATATTTTTAAAAGCACCCAGTACTGAACTAGATCTTTCAAATATTCATTTAGCACTTTCCAAATTGAAGCCCTTTGCTGTTTGCCAAAACTATTAACTTTTTAAGCATACAGTAAGTGCGAGAAAAGCAGTGTATATTTTTGGAACTTTACATAAACTAAAATGCAGGTGTGGGATAACATCTATATAGACAAACCCAACTTCCCTCCCAAGAGTCTTTCTACAAAGGAATGAGGAGTCAAACATTTAAAAGCTTCTAATTAGACATCGAAATAGATTTTCCACAGAATAAACATATCACCGTGTTATCACATTCATCTTAGAAAGACCACCCTCAGATTGCATTACAGTAATAGAATATGCTTGGGCTGCATATCTCAAAAGAATGAACAACAAACATAATAAAATGTGAGCATGGTTGTTGTTTTATTTCAATCAAGCACTATCCTTTTCAGTAAAACTTGCAATAAGAATTAATCTAAACAAGAAAATTTGCATTAGAAATAACTTTCATTAGTGTCATGCTCAAAATCTTCATTCTTCAGAAAGACAAATTAATGAATGTATTGTCTTAGGTGGTAATTTTTAAAAGGAAATAAGGAATTTGAATGCTGAGTTTTACTTTACAAATATTTTGTAGAGGGAGGGAAAGTTCCATAATATTATAGTTAAGTGTTTGTTTGTGTGTGTGTGTGTGTGTGTTTTAACTTAAATTATGTGTTGGGGCTTAATCTTTCTCTCCCTATTTCTTTTTCCAATAATAATAATAATTTAATAATAATAATAATAATAATAATAATTTATTATTATTATTATTTTGCCTAGAAAATTTGCACAATGTTTAGAGAATTTGTGATCCCAATTTATACTCACATGACTTGTTTTAATATAAAAAACATAACAAATGAGTGGAAGCTAAGTTGAAAGTGTGCTTAATGAAGCTTAAGTGGATTTGAAGCCCTAGAAATAACAAGTATAATTTTCAGCTATGATTACCAAATCTAAAACCCTTATTGTATTTTTATCCCAGAGTGGACAGCACTAACGTTTTTCTCTTTCATTATTTCCCCTTTCTTCTTCTGGCTCAGGGTTCTCATTCATACCATGCTACTACAGGAAAAAAAAAAAGAAAAGAAAAAGAAAGCATATTTTCTAAGTCAGGCTTAACTAGTACTTAAAAAGGGCTTTTGACTTCTGTGTCAAACATGATAAATGAGTGGAAGCTAAGTTGAAAGTGTGTTTAAATTTTCACATTGTAGCAGGTATCATAACTTAGTTCACTTGGGAAATCTATCTAACCTTTTATTCTGGTTAAGTAAACATTTTAAAGTGAACATATACAGTCTCATTTTCTAGTTTCATGAAATAGTGTGTTTAAAAGTATTTGAGGTAGATGAATATCCTTTCAAAGCTAAGAGCTTCATTCACATTCTAAAGACGCATAAATTTTAAATAAGCGTCACAAATTTTGGCAACTGGCTTCTGTATGTGCATGCATGTTTTAGGTTTTCTCTCTTTCTTAATCAGATGGTAACTTCTAGAGGAAATATTCAAATAGGCTCGTTTGTAGCTTTAACAATAAAGAGAAGTATGTGCCTGTGCTATTATTGCACCAAAATGAAATCAGGCAAAATCAGGTGGCATCACTTAACCTGGTTATCTCATTAATTTTATTAGAGATAAGTTGGTCCTTTATAGCACTGAAAAGAATGAACTCATTTCCCCTTAAATATTCAAAAGCTTTATTTTTTACAGGATCATTTTTTCAGATGAAAAGAAAAGGAAATCTTTAAATGCTCTAATAAAACAGTGATTTTTTCTATTGAAATGGAAAAGATAATTTTTAACTGTATAAGGTGTTGAAAGTAACCTATTGAATCAGCATTTCTCGGTGTTCTCCTGACTATAACTAAGTTTTTAGCCAACCAAATAGTTTATATATGTTTACATTTATGATTGAATATGCATAATTTATAAAATATTTCTAGAAAATACATGAACTCCCTTGACATTTTAGGAAAATTTGATCATATATACAATATAACAAAGCCAAGAAAATAAGCATTTGATTCATGGTTACCTTGTTATTTCAAAATTATTTTAAAATATTGGGCTAAATTTTTAAAATGGGATTACATAGTCATGATAATTATTTAAAGCAATCTCTAACCAGAGAACGTTTTTTCTTTTTCCTCGATTCTTATTTATAATATTTTCAATATTAGGAAAAGGTATTTAACTAGATTTATTATATTTTAGATAATTTTCCTAAAGTTTAATAAACCATTAATTTTATTGGTGGAAAAAAACTGATAAATTATATGTTATCCAAAACTCTTCAATTTTATTGGAATTTTTTTAATTTGCATATCTCTAAAGGGGAAAAAAGGCAAAGTTTAAAGCAGAAATTAAAATTATACTACAGATACTTATCATAATTGACTATTATTTATATCTTAGATATAAATTCATATTAAACATTACATTTAATTTTGATATAATTTCACTAAGGCAGTATAACTTTGTGGTTAAAAACAATGGTTCTTTGAGAATTTACTATTGATCAAAGGATATTTTGTTTGGTCTTGACAAATAGATACTGTTTTAAAGAATAAAGCACAGCATAGCTTAACCAACTTGTTAAAGGAATAGAGACAATGGCTATACATTAGACATTTCTTCCATCCTTGATAAGAAGAATAGAAATCTGAGTTAAATTAAATTTCAAAGGCCAGAAATTCTCAATGTACTATCATAGAAGCAGTGCTTTCCAACAACCTCTGCTCTTTTAAAATCTTTCTTTTCTGCACACTCCACTCAGCTGTCTTCAAAATTTCATTTTCTTCACTCCTTTTTATATTTTATTATTTTTATTGCCAGAAAGATTATAGGAAGTCTTGTCCACAAGTTCCTGTATGTTGTTCTTCATTAATGGCATGAGCTTGTAATCTTTTTGAAACTTGCATTTATTTTTTAATCAAAGTATTCATTATTTGACAGTCTATTCTTCCCTCCAATAGTCTCCTTGTTTACTTTCTTACTAAGGTTAAAAGGTGTAGCCCTCTTTTTCCTCTGTCGTTTCCTATTTATAGCTCTCAACTGTTTTGTTGGCCCTGTTCTTGACATTGCACAATGGCATCTCTTTATTGGTCACTAAATCATAATGAAGCTTTGTTTACTATGAAATAGAAAGACCAACTTGCAAGCTGCATCGCTCCCAGACCTAGCTACAATAAGGAGGGGTATTGCCAGAATTATTGTTCATGACATAGTTTGATTTCTTTATGAAAAGAGTTTAATAGAATATATTCAAGCCCAGAGCGTGAACATCTATTTTTTTTTCTTCCTTTTATGCCATGCAGTGATGGATCTGAACCTTCTAAAAGAGGAGGTAAGGTTGTACAGCTGCACACCTCGTAACTTCTCAGTGTCCATAAGGGAAGAACTAAAGAGAACCGATACTATTTTCTGGCCAGGTTGTCTCCTGGTTAAGCGCTGTGGTGGAAACTGTGCCTGTTGTGTCCACAGTTGCAGTGAATGTCAATGTGTCCCAAGCAAAGTTACTAAAAAATACCATGAGGTAGGTATATCGTTTTATTTCCGGGTTCCTTTGGGTATTTTGTTGCTTTAAAAATAACAAAAACAGTGTATCTGAAATGAAGTTTTGTTTGGAAGGCTGTAGCATTAATTAAAAAAAAAACACACACAAATACACTTATGTTCTCATTTTTAAAATTAGGACTTTTAACTAAAAATAAACAGACATTAAATATTTTGAAAGCTTTTCTTTTGATAGTATACCATGGTAGTCAGTAAAGTATTTTTCTCTCATACAAAAAAAAAAACACCAAAATGTGTTCTTTTATACGGTAAAATAAGGGTGAAACTGCAACTTTTCAAAATCCGAAGGGAAAAATTTTAAATAGAAACTTGGAGATGAATCATTGTCTAATTTGGAGAAAGAAGATCTTTGATATTTATTTTTCCATTTGAGGCAGTGTAGGTACCTATATCCCAAAAAGACATGTTCATAAATATACCCATCTTCCTATTATTCATATTGTCCCAAATAATCTGTTATGGATGCTTCACCCTTTTATCTTTTTACGAATCAAGAAAATTCTGACATTAAAACTTAGCAACTATTGTTTTTCAGAGCCTTGGGAACCTTAGAACTGATACACTCTAAATTATTCATGATGCAGGAATATCCAAAATTCTATCCCTCTATCTCTCCAAGAGCATCCTGTAGCATTCATACATTAGGAAGCAATTCCTTCTTGATGAGTCAACTTTGAATTTATAAAACCTTTCCATTATACCAAGCCAAAATCGGCCTTCTTTACTTAATTTCAATATAGCTTCATTTCTATAGTTTTCTTCTAAATAAAAGAATCTTAAGAAAGTAAATATATGCTTCATAAGCAAAATGAATTTTTCGACTTGCATAAAGATATCAATGAAACCCTAATCCGTTAGGTAATCTAAACAAGTACAGTGTGATAAGCTATCCTGCATATGACATGGTTGTCCTGCCCTTCAACAACATTGTGTTGGCAGCTGGTAAAGTGAGGGGGGAGGAAGCACTGGATTCCAGAAGACAATGGATCCTTTTTCCAACCTAGGTCTGTTTTTACCTTGTAACCATCAGCAGGGTACTGAGCCTCAATAAAATAATGTAAGATATGAGAATTATCTGTTTGTTTTTTTCCCTAGCTATGTCATTCCAAGGCAGTTACTAATTGCAATTTTTAAAAGGTAACATCCCAAACTAGAAGATTAAAAATAGGACAATTTACTGCCTTAACTCATGTCCTACTTTCATTGCTTCAATGTATTCTTCCAATGTGCCTTGTGCTGGGAACAGTCTCCACTCGTCACAAGAAGTAGACAGTTATGGACATGGTGGCTCAAGAAGCTCCAGCCAAGCTATGCCCAGAGTCCAGGCCAATTGCTGCTCCATGAACTGGGGTATCTAGTCAAGAAGAAACCTTCAATCTGTTTTAAGTTTAAACAGATTAAACATAAAATACCTTATAGGTCAGGCTGATATTAGAGTTGTTGAATGGCCTAACATAAAAGGTTGGAATGAGAATAGGAATTAAACTTGAGTGATCTTTTCCCACCGAAAGTCATTCCATTTTGAACCATCTAAAGCAAGTTTTTACTAAACAAAGTGCATTTTGGGACCTCATTTAGCCAACAAATATTGGGTATATGACACCATTCTATGAGCTATAAAATCCAAAACAGCTTTATCAGCCTTTTTAAACCAGCCTCTCAGATGCTGATTCCATGCAATGCTTTTGGTCAGATAAATCAGTCTTCAAGTGAAGCATATCCTCTTCCATGTTATACTTTTAAATGTATTTTCAAATAGCATTAGGTGTAGGGTTATGCGGGAAACTGTCAAAGAATTTGTAAAACTGTTTTAAAGTCTCAGGTAAAAACTTTGTGGGGAAAGGCTGTGGACAATGCTTATAGCATCACTGGACTTCTTCCAGAATGACAATGATCCATTACACACTAGACTTTGGGTGGGGTTGATTACGTATGCATTATATATATGCATACATATATATCTTTATGTGTGTAATTACATGACCATCAAATGTAAGGTTCCCATATCCCTAAAGTGTATATGTATAGAAATATCATTGACTAGTTACCTGCTTCAAATTTTTCATAAATAGCTCCAGTAATAACCTTGTCTTAATTTTTTATCAATAAGTGTTATATGATTTTTTTTTTGGTAAAGGATCAAATTATTCTATGAAAAAAGGGAAGTTTAATTTGATGTAATTCATCATTCCCGAACCCTGAATTTTTCTTAGTTTATATTTTGGAAATAAATTCTTAGTCTAATACTACCCTTGAATAAATGAAATTATTTTTAAAATATAACTTAAAATATTATGACTTTTTTATATTACTTGGGCTTTCATTCTCTTTGATGAGCATTGTTCTCATTTACACTTTGAAGATTTTTCCACCTCATGGAGAAGGCAGAAGTAAAGACAGAGCTTAAAAGTTCTAAGTTTTCTTTCCTTCATCTCTACTATACCAGCTTTACCATTTCTATACCATCTCTACTATACCATTATTATCTTGTCTACCTTGTTTATATCTTCATATATATTTAATTTCATTTTTCATAATTTAAAGTACAGTCTTTCTTATGCATGGATCTATTTATTTCGGAGGAAAATATACCATTCAATTGACTTTTTCTAGTAATGAGTCCCATCCTCCAAGGTTCTTTGACACTCCAAAATTTAAGGGCACTTTGCATACTTTGGGCAATGGTACCTGTGCCTCTATTCCTTGATGCTACCTTCTGTATGTAATCAATTCCTTTCCACTGGTTTTAGCTTTTCCCTGGATTATTTTTTCATGTGCTTATATTTAGAGTTTGATCTGCTCCCTCAACATTTTGTGAGATAGTCTTCTGCCTTTTTGGTGTTTTTTGTTTGTTTGTTTGTTTGTTTGTTTTTTGTTTTTTTTATTGTCTTCTAAACTGTATCCTAAAAATCCAATGATCATCTTTCATATTATCTGGGACATGCTGGTCATGTTTCAAGTCTAACTTTCTCTTCTCAAGTTAGAACTTTCAAACAGAACTGAGAAAGAAAATAAGTATAGTCCCACCACCTTGTGTTAGAATTTCTTATCCAAGACTTCAACATCACTAGGACATAAATAGATTATTTTTCTATCTGATCTCTACAAACATTTGTGGATGAAGACTGTGTGTGTGTGTGTGTGTGTGTGTGTGTGTGTGTGAAGGGGCTTTTGTTGGGTGAATGCATCTTGACATAAGCATTGCTAGAGGATGGGAGGGTTGTAGGGTTGCAGCTTAGCATCACTGCTTGTTAATATGGCATACGGTAGCCTACCTTACCTTTCCCTGTCATAGTAATTTTTCTCCTGCCAACTGGGAAAATGTATACAGGTGAAGATAGGAATTAAAGATTGCCAATATCACAATTTATCTGTCTTCCTAACCACATTAAAATAGTACATTTTTAGTCATTTTTATTCTAGCATTATGAAATGTAATAAAAATCTAATTTAGAAGTTGACTATTTCCTATAGTTATTTTAAGACATGCAGTTTGTCTTTCTGCAAAGAAAGTTACTAAATAAGTAGTATGCATAACTAGGTATATTCTGAGTCTTCATAAAATTATTACTATCACTCTAATAATTCATATTTGGCCTAAGTACAAATACTGGTTATGCCACTTATTCTCTCTAAGCTTCTGTTCACTCATGTGTAAAATAGGGGGGATAGTGATAAATTACTTCATAGAATTCTTGTGAGTTAAAGTCTGTAAAATCCTTATTATAGTGGTTAGCACTCATAAGCATTCAAAAAATGTTAGCTAATTAACCTTCGGTATGACCGCATTCTCCAAATGAGTTATACATTCTTTTTATTTTCCCCCCCTTATTTTAATCTTCAAGAAGAACAGTCATAAGACTTGACTTGTGCCTTTTTGGATTAATGAAAATGTCCAGGAACTTTTAGAAGTTGCTCTATGAAGTTATCTGTGTCATACCCAGAGGGCAGAGAAACTAGACAACTTCATGTTATTATGTTCTCTAGGGTTTGTTTAGAATCCAAACATAAATTCTAAAAATGTATCATTTCTATTATAAGGAATAAAATGGAATGCACATTAAATAGGTCATTCTTTTCAAGTACGTTAGGTAGTCTTTTATAGAATACACAAGAGACCTGATGCACAAAATTCATGCAAGGGGCGTGGCCCACACAGCTGCAGCAGTTCACCTCAGTCCTCATAGCCCCAGCTTCATCTGGAAGATTGTCCGGAAGGTAGTCAGGAAGAACTTCTGGTCTAATTAGCATATTACGCTTTTATTATTATAGATAGCTATGTCCTTTTGTTGTGTTGAAAGGAATTATGTTCATCATCATTGTCTACTGTGCTATATATTTTATTAAGATTCCCAGCAACCCAAACTGCAAGTAACTGCACTAAATAGAGCCATTATTGTCATTGCCAAATCTCCGTATGCTGCACAGTAGGACCCAGCTGCAGAAAGTTAGCTGTGACAGAGGCTGATGTCTATGAAGTACATCTAATCCATCCCATCAAGTTTATAGAGGACTTGAGGTATAGCCAAGAAAATTAATGAGTGGCATAATTGAGCTAACTCAGCTGCAGAGCGATCATGTTTCTTTTCACAGTATCGCAGTACTTGCGTGTATTTCTTCGAGCATAAATATTTGTTAAATGTGTGAACAAACGAATGACTGAAAGAGACTAACAAACAGAAAAAACTAATTGTTCCGTAGCAGTTCCAACATACTTCACCAAGGTGAAATGTCTCCATATTCTTAAAAGAGTTAAATGAAGAGTGCATAGTGACTTTTTCCATTTAAGTACTATTCTTTATTCTGAGGCAGCATCCTTCCAAATTGTGGGTATTGAAATACTCTTGGTTTCATGAAAAAATTGGTCATGTATGATTTTTTTTTTTTGAGGGTTGGGGGGTTGTATTCGTACTGCCTTTACTAGGAAAAAAACACATAAAATCTATAGGTCTTTGTTGGGCCCCAGGTTTATTTTCCCTGAAATGTTACTTGTCTGTGAACCCATACCTGATAGACATTGATTGATTTTAACGGCGGCTTACCTTGCTTCCTCCAGGTCCTTCAGTTGAGACCAAAGCCTGGTGTCAGGGGATTGCATAAATCTCTCACCGACGTGGCCCTGGAGCACCACGAGGAGTGTGACTGTGTGTGCAGGGGGAGCACCGGAGGATAACGCATCGCCACACGCCGCCTTGGCCCGGCAGCGCCGCGCAGCGCAGAGGCTGGCTCTGTGAGAGAACTGATGCGTTACCGCCATCCATAATCTCAGTTGTTTGCTTCAGGGACCTTTCATCCTTCAGGATTTACAGTGTGTTCTGAAAGAGGAGACTCCAACCGGAATGAGGAGTTGTGCAACAGCTCTCTTGAGAGGAGGCCCCCATGACAGGGAAAAGGTCTCCGGGTGTGGAAAAAAAATATATTAAATGTTGTAGATCACTAGCTAGTTAGAGTGACCCTGCACTTACTCGGCTGGCTGTGTTCTATGTGTCAGTTGTCTTGATATGACTTTAGTTAATGTCAGTACAGGAAGGAAATGAGTGCAGATGGGCACCTGATTCTATTGCCTTGCTTATTAACTCTCAAGCTTCATAGTCTGGGCCTAAAAAAGAATCACAGAAATCTGGAATTTTCCCCTTATGGTCACATGTATAAACCAGAGTGTTTGATGGCCTACAAACTTGGTTTTGGAAAAAAAAAAAAAAAAGAACTATGTTGTTATAAATTAAACTTATGTTCTGTTGATAAGAAAGACTGGATTTTCCATATTTCTTATAAAGTATTTCTATCATTTAGAGGACACGAACTACATTTCATGGTTTGGAAGAGACAAACCTGAAAAGAAGAGTGGCCTTACCTTCACTTTATCTATAAGTTGGTTTATTTGTTTTATTGTGTACATTTTTTATATTCTCCTTTTGACATTATAACGGTTTGCTTTTCTAATCTTGTTAAATATATCTATTTTTACCAAAGGTATTTAATATTCCTTTTTTTATGACAACCTAGATCAACTATTTTTAGCTTGGTAAATTTTTCTAAACAGAATTGCTATAGCCAGAGGAACAAAGATGATATGAAATATTGTTGCTCTGACAAAAATACATGTATTTCACTCTTATATGGTGCTAGAGCTTAGATTAATTTGCATTTTTTAGATTATTGAAATGGGAAATAAATAGAATTTGGTACGTTTTGAACACTTTTCAAAATAAGTAAGTTATCATATCCTCCACTTCTGTTATTGGAGATGCAAATAGAAAGTGACATAGGGACATAGGGAAATAAACATCTGGATCCATCATTACTCACCCCGAACCCTTATTGTCAGAACCGAGAGCCTAGCTCAGAAGAACACAAAGCACCTTGAAAAGAAGAGACTCAACGGCTTCCTGAAAAGCATGCTCTGCTGTCCTGTAGGAACACATCCTATTTATTGCTATGTTCTGGTTTTATTCTCTTGAAACTCTGTTCCACACACTTGTATAAATACATGGCTATTTTAATGTACAGAAGTATATCCTTTAACCAATTCACATATTGTACTCTTTGGCAATTGAAAAGGAAATCAGTAAAATACCTGGCTTGTAAATGCTTAATATTGTGCCTAGGTTATGTGGTGGCTATTTGAATTAAAAAATGTATTGAATCACCAAATAAAAGAATGTGGCTATTTTGGGGAGAAACTCGAGTATGTGTGAGTGTGCATTGTGTGTGTGTGTGTGTGTGTGAGAGAGAGAGAGAGAGAGAGAGATTTGTCTCTGAAACACCCAGAATGTGAAAAGTGATAAAATGTCTTGTTACCATAAATTTTCATTATGCAAAAATGGATGTCGGTTTAAAAGACAAGTAATGAAGTGGATATTTCTATTGAGGCTTCTCTGTCTCTTGTCTCCAATGCTTTTTAAAAAATAATATATTTTTATTGATTTCAGAAAGGAAGGGAGAGAGAGAGAGAGAGAGAGAGAAACATTAATGATGAGAAAGAATCATTGATTGGCTGCCTCCTGCACATCCCCCACTGAGGATGGAGCCTGCAACCTGGGTATATGGCCCCACCAGAATGGAACTGCGATTTCTAGTTCAAAGGTTAATGCTCAATTGACTGAGCCGTGCCTGCCGGGTCTCCAATGCTTTTCAACAGTAGTTTTCTTTTTCTCACTGGTCTGGATACTTATTTCTGGTCAATTAAGTTGCAAATGACTTGAAAGTTGTTATGTGACTTGTGAAATGCTTAACAATAGATTATATAGTAATATAAAGCAGGAGAAACCAACAATCCTGTAACTTTCCACTCATGTTTTTAATTTTCAATGGCAAATTCTAATTGGGGTAAGCCTGAATTCATTTGGCAAATAGATTGGTGTATTTTACATAAGACACTTCAAGGCATGAATGCCCAGTTTTAATTTTAGATTTTAATTTGAGCTGATCTTATCTTATCTCTGTCTTACCTCTGCCTTTCAATTTGCCTGAGACAGGAGAACCCAGGGCCAGGCTGTCCTCAGACAATTCTAAGTAGAACTCTCTTTTTGGGGGTGTGGGGGCTACTTTTCCATCTGGCAATCCTACCCTGCACACAAACACATGAAAAATAAATGGATAAAATGAACATTCATGTTTTGTCTTATTGCTTCACCTTCTCATAGTTTTGCCTCCATCTTATGAAGCTTACTAGATACAGGTTAACTGTGCTCCACTGAAAATGCAATGCCCTGTATTTCTCTCTTGGCAATTCATAACTCATTGAAGTAGTAAAAGCTCCTTTAAATCTACAATAAATGACCCATGTAATGGTTTAAGCCAGTACTTCCAACCTTTCAATGGAACATATTTCCCTTTTGTTTGTTTTTTTAATAATTATTTTATTTACATATAAAATGTTGAATGGAACATCCTTCCCTTTTTTTAATGTTTATTTTAGCCTATAAAATAAAAGGCTAATATGCAAATAGACCAAAAGGTGGAACAAGCAAACAGCCAGTCACTATGACGTGTGCTGACCACCAGGGGGTATATGTGGAACATACTAGTAGTGGGCATCAGCAGCAGGCAGCAGAGCATGTAACATGGCAGGCCTTGGTCAAGGCAGGATGGTGTAGCAAGTGAGGTGATGGTAGAGCAGGTGAGCGGGGCACCAGACCAAGGCAGGAAGTTGGTTGCTGTCATCAGGGGGGAGCCTCTGAAGGTTACTGAAAATTCTTTGCTCCCACATACTGTGGTCCTGCCCCATGTTCACACCCGCTGCTAGCACCCAGCGCCAGGCCCAATTGCTTGGCGTAGTCAGCAGGTGCAAGCAGCAGCTGACAGCCCTGATCACCCCTGAGAGCTTCTTCAACTCCCTCTGCTCATGAGGGGCAATCAGGGCAGCAGCCACCACTCTCACCCACTGATGACAGTGCTGGCCCCAACTCCCACCCACTGCTGGTGCCAGCTCCAAGGCCCCAATCACTCCACACCATCAGCAGGTGCAAGCAGGGCCGGCACCGTCAGTGCATGGGAACAGCAGTGGTGGTAGTGGGGCTGCTGGCAGACAGCAAACTGGGGACCGAGCAGGGCACAGAAGATGGGCTGAGACCTTCCCCTGTGCCCACAGCAGCCTCATGGCCCACAGTTCCTTTCAAGGTGCATGAATTTGCACTGGGCCCCTAGTTTACATATAAAATGTTGAAAGGCAAAATAAATTATAAAGGTAGAAGTGCAATACACTTTTGCCAATCAGTGGGTGAGAAAGGTGTGAGGTGTAATAAACACTTAATACGATTCTTACTGGGCATTTTATTTCCCATCAATGGCACACATGACTATAATTTCCCAGAATTTCAAAAAAGTATTGACTATATTTACCTCAAACTGTTTTGTACGTGTGACATATGCCTTTATCCCTGAGGGATGGACTATTTTGCCTAGTGATTTTATAAAATAAAAGAGGCAGCTTAATTGGCATATAGCAGACTTTCATGCTATAGTTTTCATATCCACATCTCATCCCCTTCCTCATCTAATAACTTAATACCAGACGCTTAATATATGTAATACCCTTTTCTCTAAAAGCATTGTGATATTCAAAAATATTTTAATTACTTATGATCCTGTTAAAACTCATAAATACCATAACCCTTTACATTCATAGGAAGGAGTAGAAAAATGAAAATATTGTAAAATAGCTCATTTGCTTTACATTCTGTTTTCCCTTCATGCTTCATATGTAATTAATCAACAAGCCCACCCATCAACTTTGCCTTTTCTATTTCTCTTGCATTGGTGCCTAGATCTCCAGTTCTGTAGCCACTGTCCTGATTTAGACTCTTATGTCTTAGCCCCATTTTATTGCAATAACCTTTTCCAGATTTCTTGCCTCTAGTCTCACTCCCCTCTGATCCACCCACTGCACCACTGACAGAAAGGTCATTCAAACAAATGCAATTGTGTCCGTTGGGTGGAAATGTTACAATGGAACTCCACAAGATTGAATTTTAATTCTTTGCATGGCACTCAACATCCATGATCTCATTTCTGCTCATTTTGCACCATCAAGCCTAATCTATAGCTCTGGTGATCCCTGCATTTTCCCGAAAACTCCTGCATTCCCTCACATCTCTGCGGGCACATACTGCGTGCTCTTTGGATCTCTGTTCCTACACTTGGCTACTCAGTAATTTCTCTCAAGTCTCAGCTGAAAGGTCACTCTTCAGTGAAGCTTTTCTCCCTTAATTTCCACCAGCAGCCTGAGGCTGCATTTCTCCTGTGCTCCCCAAAGAATGTTTCACTTATAAATATTGTCTTACTGCAGTATAATTGCCAGCCCTCATTTTGATTTCTCATTAGGCTTTTAGTCTAATGAAATAAGTGATTTTTTAAAACATAGCACTTAGCCCTAGCTGGTTTGGCTCAGTGGATAGAGCATTGGCCCGTGAACTGAAGGATCCTGAGTTCAATTCCAGTCAAGGGCAAGTACCTCAGTTGCAGGCTCAATCCTGGGCATGGGTTAGGATGTGTGCAAGAGGCAACCAATTGATGTGTATCTCTCACATGGATGTTTCTCTCTTTCTGTCTCTCCTCCTCCCGTCCTCTCTCTCTAAAAATAAATGGAAAAAATCTCCTTCGGTGAGGATTAACAACAATGACAACAACTATATATATATATATATATATATATTCACTGAATATGACATCAGAAACCTTGGAGTTCCAAAATATCTCTGATATCTCTGAGTTTCAGCTACCTAATCTGTAAAATGAAGGAGGTAATCCATGGGAGCTGGTACTTTTTAGTTCTAATCAGTTCAGCTACTGGTTATATTGGGATGTTGGGGCACCTACCATCAGGACAAAAATATCTATTCCTTGTGATATTACGTGATATTACACCATTCTCCCCCTCTTTCACAATGCTTTGAAACGAAATGTTTGGGTTTCCAGCTAATGATTTTTCTTACCAACCATATGTCATATATCACTTCTTTTCAGAGTTAAAGAGATTTACTAATGCATTTTGGTATCATTCAGATTTTGGATACTTATTTACTAGTATGATTACATTTTCTGAGGTAGAATTTAAAAGTCTTTAAAATGTGAACATATAGACATATGAGTAATTGTGATTCATAATCTCCTCATAGTTTACTACTTGAGTCATTTTGTATAGTCACACCTAACATAGAGTTCTAGTGAGTACTCACAGCTTCCTGAAAACACTGTGCAGAATTCCCACACACCCCTGTGCCAGTACGTGCCATGCTCTTTTTGGAGCATTGTTCCTACACTTAACTATGTCAACCATTCCCTTTCCTGTCTATTCCATTGTTAATTACATGCTATGCCTGAGCATTTGTCCAGTGACCTACACCAAATCCAATTTCTTTCATAACTGCTAAGCCACTATGGTAAATCTATTCAGTGTAAATCTACAATATGTAAAATTTAAGAAAGAGATTTAGTATTGAGGTGGGAAGTGTATGTTATACAGTTAATAACTTTAATGATTTTTAAATTATATAAACAATTCAATTGACTTTTTAAATGAAGGAATTACAATGCTCTTCTTAAAATTCATATGGAAATTTAGGGGGCCAAAGGTAGCCAAAAATCTTGAAAAGTAATGACAAAATTGGATGATATACTATTAAGTTATAGAAATAGCATGATAATGTTAATAAAGTTAATAAGTTTAAACATACAAAGCAATGAAATCGAATTGAGAGTCCAGAAGAAAACCCTCCATTTATGTTCTTGGTGAAAGAGTATTTTTTCAACAAATGTTGCTAGAACAACTGGATATCAAAAGGTATCTAGGACAACTACATAGGCAAAAGAATAAATTTGGACTGTTTTCCTCATACCATATACAAAAATTAAGGCAAAATAAATGAAAGATCTAAATGTAAAGATAAAACTACGACCTCTTAAAAAGACATGTGGGAGAAAATTCTGATGACCTTAATTTAGACAATATTTCTCAGATATGACACCAAATGAAAGAAAATAAACTGGACAGTATCAAAATGTTTTTAAAAATTGTGTTTCAAGGGTACTATCAAGAAAATTAAATAGATAACCCACATAATGAAGGAAATATTTGCTGTTCATATATCTAATTATAGTCTTGTATTTACATTATATGAAGAACTCATATAACTCAACAATAAAAAGATAATTAACTCAACTGAAAAGTGCGCTAAGGCTC